GAGAGAGAGAGAGAGAGAGAGAGAGAGAGAGAGAGAGAGAGAGAGAGAGAGTATGTGTGTATGTATGTATGTATGTATCTTTTTGTCTTTGTTTTTTTTTTAACTCTCTCTCTCTCTCTCTCTCTCTCTCTCTCTCTCTCTCTCTCTCTCTCTCTCTCTCTCTCTGTCTCTCTCTCTCTCTCTCTCTTTCTTTACATACAATACTTTTTTTTTGATAAATACTTTTAAAGGCTTTTTTTCAAATCGCATCGGAAACCGAATTTAACAAATGAGAAAAAATAAAACCGTATTTCTTTCTCCTTAAAGATCATTTTTGTAAGAACGAACATAAATTCAACAGCAAAAACTATACATCAAGAGCGAAATTTCCGAGCACATTATACATAATAATTCCCCAACAATAGACCTTCGTCTTAAAAACTCTTTTCCCCAACGATAAACTTTCGTCTTCAAAACTCTCTTTTCCCCAACAATACACCTTTATCTTTACAACTTCCTTTTCCACAACAATAAACCTTCGTCTTCAAACTCTCTCTTCCCCAACAATAAACTTTCATCTTCAAAACTCCCTTTTCCCCAACAATAAACCTTCTTCAAAACTCCCTTTTCCCCGACAATAAACCTCCTTTAAAACTCTCTCTTCTTTCTTTCTTTCACCCTTCTTTCTTGTACTTAAAGCAGTTCGCGTTCTTACTCTAAGCGGAGTAGCAGGTGCATTTTTGGCAAGCGAGTCTAGGTCAGTCAGGGAACATATTTTCTTCTAGTTGTGGTGCATATCGGCGATTATCTTTCCATATCTTGCTTTATTGTCTTTCTGTCTATTTCGGTTTCTTGGATGTTTTATTTGCGTTTTTTATTTGGTTTATGTTTATCCGTTATTTCTATTTTTCGTTCTCTTTCTCTTTATTTTTATTCTTCTCCATCTGTTTTTTTTTCTCCTTTTTCTTCTTCTCCTTCTTCATTTTCTTCTTGGTTCTTCTTCTTCTTCTTCTTCTTTTTCTTCTTCTTCTTCTTGATTCTTCATTTTTTTCTTCTTCCTCTTCCTCCTCTCTTTCTCTTCCTTCTCATTTCCATTCTCATTCTCATTCCCATTTCCATTGTTATTCCTCTTCCTATCCCTAATCTTCTCCTCTCCTATTCCCATTCCCAATCTTTCTCCTCACCCCCCGTCCCTCTCTTTCCCCGCGAATCTTAGGAAGGCACTTGGTTAACGTAACCAATTTCCGCCAAGTGATGGAATATCGCGTTACCCTCGACTCTCTCTCATTTCAGCCGACTTCATAATCTCCTCACTTATGTCTTCGGTGTTCGATACTCATGTCTTCGGTGTTCGATACTCATGTCTTCGGTGTTCGATACTCATGTCTTCGGTGTTCGATAGTCATGTCTTCGGTGCTCGATACTCATGTCTTCGGGTCTCCTCACTCATGTCTTCGGGTCTCTTCACTCACGTCCTTGGGTCTTGTCACTCACGCCTTCATTTCTCCTCACTCATGTCTTCAGGTCTCTTCACTCACGCCTTCGTTTCTCCTCATTCATGTCTTCGGATCTCCTCACTCACGTCTCATAAGGACATGCTGGAGTCATTTCAGGCATGTGCGTGTCATGTCGTCGTTTGAGGTGGAGGTAGGGAAGGGAGGAGGGAGAGAGAGGAAGAGGGGGAGAAGGGAAGAGGGAGAGAAGGGAGGAGAGGAAGAGATTGAGAGGGAAAGAACGGAAAAGAGGGAGAGAGTCGGAAAAGGGAAGAGAGGAAGAAGGGAAAGAACGGGAAAAAGAGAGAGAATCGGAACAGGGAAGAGAGGAACAGAGGGCGAGGGAAAGAACGGGGAAGAGGGAGAGAGTCGGAGAAGGAAAAAGGGAAGTCGTGGAGAGGGGAAAAGCGGCAGAGGGGAAAAGTGGCAGAGGGGAAAAGCGGCAGAGGGGAAAAGCGGCAGAGGGGAAGGGAAATGAATATTTGAGCATTTTGCTTGCGTGAAAAGTAACGAATGTTTGCTTAGGATTTTGAACGCTGCCTCTCGAGAACACGACTTATCGGGAATATTGTTCGTGCGTCGATGTTTTTACTTTGTGTTATCTCTTGTTTATGGTTTATTTTGTTTCAGTTAAGAAAAGGACAAGAAATGTATCGTCTATGTACATATAGTGTATGTTTCGGCTAAAGGGGGGGGGGGGTCTGAATCATGAGCTGACAATTGCATTTCCTCCTCCGCCTCCTCCTTCTGCTCTTTCTCTTTCTTTTCCTCTTTCTCTTCCTATTTCTTCTTTTTTTCCACTAGTCATTTACTTTCTCTTCCCTTCCCTCTCCCTCTTCCGTTATCTCTCCTTCCCCCGCTTCCTCTTTCTTTAATTCTTCCTGTTCTTCCTCCTCTTAGTCATACTCATTCTTTCTCATTCTCTTCTTTTTTCTTTTTCTTTCTTTTCATAACCCTTTTTCTTATCCTCATCTTCCCTCTTCCTCTTCTTCCCTCCTATCCACTTCCCCCTCCTCTTTCTCGTCCTCCTCCCCTTCTTCCTCGTCCCTTTGTTGGCCCTTTCTGCCGGTTAGTGGGTGGGATGATGCCAAGTCTCGCACCCGCCGCCATCCCCTGCCACGCGCCGCCCCTTCCTCACGCCCACGACGCCCACGTTCACCAGGATTCGAGGAGTTGGGAGTTGGGGTTTTTCGGGGGGAAATGAGACTTTATTTCGGGGAGGCAGAGCGGTGCAATTTGCTCTCTCTCACAGTATATGGATGTGTGTATATGTATATACATATCTATACATATACATATGTAAGTATATGTATATGTATATACATATATTATCCTTGAAGGGCTGTCTAGTACTACCATCCTTGCCTGATTGGAAGCCCTACCTAATCATCAGTAATATAATAGTATATATATATATATTAGGTTTCCCTTTCCCCTTTGCGTGTGGAAAAGAGATGCATTGTTAAGCGATTCCTCATACAAATTTCTTATTTGAGACCAAAAATACACGTAAATAGCATCAGCAGCGGTGAAAGACATATCCACCCTCGATAAAAGAAAAAAAAATGCGTAGTTGTTCCAAGGCAGCACTCAGGGGTACAAGGAAGGTAACTTAACAGGTGATCTTAAACGAATCCAGGTGAAAGGGAATCCGAGAAACAGGTGTAGCGGTACAAAAGACGGATATCGTAGAGATTCGCACAGTTAAATCTTACAAGATATATATGTATATATGAGGCACCAACAAGGTCGTTTGAGTGAGGTGAAATCATTTTCAATTTTGTGCGTGATGGTCTGAGATTTAAATTTACTCTGCATTTCCTTTGTTTTTTTGCGGTCTTGCAAGAATTTCCTTGCAATAACCGTTGCAATATTCAGGGAGCAGTAGAATGTTGCATACCTATTTGCCTGCGGTGTTTGTGTGTGATTGTGTGTAAGTTTGTATGTTTGTTTGTGTGTTTTAGTGTGTTTGTGCGTGCGTGTATGTTTGTCTGTGTATATGTGTGTATTTATGTATTCGTGCGCATGTGTGTGTTTATTTGCTTGTATGTATGTGTGTGTTTGCCTGCATATGTTCTTTTTTTGTTTGTTTTTTGTGTTTTTTTTTCTGTGTCTGTGTGCGTGTGTGTGTGTCTGTGTGCGTTAGAACCATTGCTTTCATTCGAGTACCATGTCACCAATTCATTCCCGAAACGCTTCTCCAAAATTAAACAGCCGAGACGAAAATACGAGGGACTTCAAAGCAGACCGAGATAAAACAGGAATCTTGCAACGAAACGCTAGTTTTATTTCCTACTTTGTTGACCGAGGCTGTGTTGACATTGCAGGCCAATCAACACTCCTTCACTTCTAAAACCGCATTTTCTCCGCCTGAATAAATTACTTAAAGAAAGGTAATATATATCTAGTCGATTATTATCCTTCCAGTTATATCACCACTCTTGCTTGCTTGCTTGCTTGCCCTGTGCGTGGGACAAGCGCGGATTAATTCAAGTTTTAGTTGGTGCTAACATTTTTATTGCGATGAAACCCATTACCAACGCAGAATTAAATTTTCACATTACTATTGCAGCAGCGGCCGGGGTTATGGAGGCGCCGGGCTGAGCTGAATTATTCGTTTACAATAAATGAATTATGGTTACGTCATTCAGTGATGGATGTCACTGAGTTAATAGAAAGTGAAATATTGTACAGGTGTGTTTTGAGGGTGAGGGGGGCAGTGTAAATCGTAAATTGTTAGGGCTATGTGTGTTTGTGTGGGTGAGGAGGATTGTATTTGTGTTCGTGTACGTGTGTGTGTGTGTGTGTATTTGTGTGTGTGTGTGTGTGTGTGTGTGTGTGTGTGTGTGTGTGTGTGTGTGTGTGTGTGTGTGTGTGTGTGTGTCAGTGTGTGTGTGCGTCCGTGTGTGTGTGTGTGTTGTGTGTGTGTGCGTCCGTGTGTGTGTATGTGTGTGTGTTTTGCGGTGTGTTGTGAGTGTACAAACTAATCCGCCGACACACGCAGAAACATGGTATCTCACACAGAGCCACACACACGTACTAATACTGCTTGTCAAACATTACTTCCTTCCGCAAATCCTCAATTCCAATACAGTCTTTAAAACTTTCTTGGAGCAAAAAAACTTCCTCTAAAGAATCCGAAACCACAAGAGCAACAAATAAACCAAATTAACAGTAAGTCTGTAAAAAAAGGAAAGAAAAAAAAACGTGAACGAAATCGGAATCAAAGCCATATTATTTAGGATTTATTTCCAATATCAATTTCTTTCGTAAATTCTTTTTGTTTTTTGTCGAGGTAATCGTCCAATATACAAAAAAAAATCAAAATGGACAAATCAAGAAATAAACACACTGAAACGAAATACAAAGAAATCAACAAACACAGAAACAGAAATACACCAAACGCAAGACAAAAAAAAAAAAAAAAAAAAAAAATACGAACGGACCTGAAATTCCAAATAAAAAAAAACGGACGGAAAAAAAAACAAGATAGGTTCGAAAAGCGCAGCGCAGGGCAGCCTCACTCACCGCAGACGGGGTACAGCACCAGCAGGGACGCGGCGAGGAGCACTCCCGTCACCAGAGCGGATCTGAAGATTCCCCGCGACATCTTGAAGGGTCACGTGACGTCCGTGACCTTCAGGAGCTGTGGAGGGAGAGAGAGAGAGAGGGAAACGAGATGAGACTCCGGCGATAAAGCTAGGTCAAAGGAGGAGATGAAAAGGACGGCTTGATGGGATTATTCGGAAGATGAGGGATAGAGAGAGGATTTTTTTTTTTTTTTTTTTTTTGGTGGTGGGGGGGGGGAGAGAGATGGGGAGGTACAGGGAGAAAGGAAGAAAGGAGAGAGGGAGGGAGGGAAGGAGAGAAGGAGGAAAGAAGAGAGAGAGAGAGAGGGAGGGAGAGGAAGAGGGAGAGGGAGGGAAGGAGGGAGGGAGGGAAGGAGGGAAGAGAAGGAGAGAGGGTGTGTGTGTGTGTGTGTGTGTGTGTGTGTGTGTGTGTGTGTGTGTGTGTGTGTGTGTGTGTGTGTGTGTGTGTGTGTGTGTGTGTGTGTGTGTGTGTGTGTGTGTGTGTGTGTGTGTGTGTGTGTGTGTGTGTGTGTGTGTGTGTGTGTGTGTGTGTGTGTGTGTGTGTGTGTGTGTGTGTGTGTGTGTGTGTGTGTGTGTGTGTGTGTGTGTGTGTGTGTGTGTGTGTGTGTGTGTGTGTGTGTGTGTGTGTGTGTGTGTGTGTGTGTGTGTGTGTGTGTGTGTGTGTGTGTGTGTGTGTGTGTGTGTGTGTGTGTGTGTGTGTGTGTGTGTGTGTGTGTGTGTGTGTGTGTGTGTGTGTGTGTGTGTGTGTGTGTGTGTGTGTGTGTGTGTGTGTGTGTGTGTGTGTGTGTGTGTGTGTGTGTGTGTGTGTGTGTGTGTGTGTGTGTGTGTGTGTGTGTGTGTGTGTGTGTGTGTGTGTGTGTGTGTGTGTGTGTGTGTGTGTGTGTGTGTGTGTGTGTGTGTGTGTGTGTGTGTGTGTGTGTGTGTGTGTGTGTGTGTGTGTGTGTGTGTGTGTGTGTGTGTGTGTGTGTGTGTGTGTGTGTGTGTGTGTGTGTGTGTGTGTGTGTGTGTGTGTGTGTGTGTGTGTGTGTGTGTGTGTGTGTGTGTGTGTGTGTGTGTGTGTGTGTGTGTGTGTGTGTGTGTGTGTGTGTGTGTGTGTGTGTGTGTGTGTGTGTGTGTGTGTGTGTGTGTGTGTGTGTGTGTGTGTGTGTGTGTGTGTGTGTGTGTGTGTGTGTGTGTGTGTGTGTGTGTGTGTGTGTGTGTGTGTGTGTGTGTGTGTGTGTGTGTGTGTGTGTGTGTGTGTGTGTGTGTGTGTGTGTGTGTGTGTGTGTGTGTGTGTGTGTGTGTGTGTGTGTGTGTGTGTGTGTGTGTGTGTGTGTGTGTGTGTGTGTGTGTGTGTGTGTGTGTGTGTGTGTGTGTGTGTGTGTGTGTGTGTGTGTGTGTGTGTGTGTGTGTGTGTGTGTGTGTGTGTGTGTGTGTGTGTGTGTGTGTGTGTGTGTGTGTGTGTGTGTGTGTGTGTGTGTGTGTGTGTGTGTGTGTGTGTGTGTGTGTGTGTGTGTGTGTGTGTGTGTGTGTGTGTGTGTGTGTGTGTGTGTGTGTGTGTGTGTGTGTGTGTGTGTGTGTGTGTGTGTGTGTGTGTGTGTGTGTGTGTGTGTGTGTGTGTGTGTGTGTGTGTGTGTGTGTGTGTGTGTGTGTGTGTGTGTGTGTGTGTGTGTGTGTGTGTGTGTGTGTGTGTGTGTGTGTGTGTGTGTGTGTGTGTGTGTGTGTGTGTGTGTGTGTGTGTGTGTGTGTGTGTGTGTGTGTGTGTGTGTGTGTGTGTGTGTGTGTGTGTGTGTGTGTGTGTGTGTGTGTGTGTGTGTGTGTGTGTGTGTGTGTGTGTGTGTGTGTGTGTGTGTGTGTGTGTGTGTGTGTGTGTGTGTGTGTGTGTGTGTGTGTGTGGAGGGAGGGAAGGAGGGAGGGAGGGAGGGAGGGAGGGAGGGAGGGAGGTACGGAATGAGTGAAAGAAATATGTATTACATGCCTAGGGAAAACACATAATTTCTGATGATAATTCATCATGATATACGAAATAGCAATAGCATAATTAACCAACATAATAACCTTAAAATAAGTGTATTAATCCATATCTAAACACTTCACAATATCCTTAATGCAAAATCAATCAGTTTGTGCAAGCGTTTATATTGTTATAGGTACGCCCTCCCCTGTAAGTATATCACTGCAGATATGAACCTATTTCTACCAAAGCAAACGTCTATTACGTTTATCTTTACACATATATACGAGGGTGTGTTAAGTATTTCCCCGAACAAAGTAATGAATTCCTGAAACTCTTCCCCACAACCACCAAAAAAAAATAAAATTCCTTTTTACTCAGACGTGTGTGAGTACTCCTCCCTCTCTGTCTCTCCCCTGTCGGCCATTTACGTAAATAAAATTGCGGATTATTTCCTGTGCCTCTCTTCGTCTCTATTTTCTCCCCTTCCCCCGTTCGCGAGTTCAGCCTTTGGATTCAATCGCCCTTTTTTAAAACGGTGCGGTGCTAAAAGCGGACAGGCATCACCAGTCTCTTTATGCTGCCCATATGCTGAGTTCCATTTCCGTCGGAGAGGCATCGGTACGTATGCCATTTGCTCAAAGTTTTGAAAGTCGTTCCCGCTGTGGATTTCTGTGCGTCTTCCGGGAACATTTAAAGATCCTAGGAATGAAGTCTAATGGGAATGGGAATGGGAATGGAAAGGGTGAATAGAAAGTTTCTGGATGAGTCGCGAAAGTTTTCGTGTCATTCTGTTCCGTGGGAATACCTCACAGTCATGTTATTCTCGAATGTTCTGGCTGAGCGGGTCAAGGTCACGCCGGATCGAGGGGAGCTATTTCAGCTTCTCTTTGCCTCTGTCTCTCCCCTCATTCCGGTCTCTCTACCCACTCCTTTTCCGTTCCCTGTTCTCTCTTCTCTCTCTTTCCGTACTTTTTCTTTCCTTCTGTTCCCTTCTCTTTCCACCCTAGGTTCCTCCCTCCTTCACGTTTCCCTTTCTTTTCCTTTTCCTTTTCCTTGCCCGTTCTTTCCTTCATCCCACTCTCCCTCCCTCCCTCCCTCCTTCCCTGCCTCCCTTCCCCTGGTCGAGTGCCAAGACGTGCCGGCTCCCTCACCTGCCCTCTCCCCCCGCGCGCTCCCCTTTGCCCCTAATCCCTATGCACCCACAGAAGTACGTTTTCCCCTTTCGCTCTCTCACACTCATGAGACATACGCACACACGTACACACGCACATGGCCTTCCCCTAAGCCTCTCAGACTTTCCTCTTCGAGCCAACAACTTCCCGAATTACTTGGTCTTGTGTTCGCGATCCTAAAATGAGTAGGATGCCAGCCGCGGGAACGTGCTTAGTAACCTGCGGCGATCGGTCGCTGGTGTCTTTTTTTTCGTCTTTTTTGTGTGTGTCGTGCGGTAATTACGCAACTTTTTTTAAATGAAGGTTGAGTTTGTGTGAAATGAAAGGGATTAATTTGGTTTTGTCTTTTGTGTACGGGTGTTTGTGCTTTTGTGTGTGCGTGTGCGTTTAGTTGACCTCATCCGGCCAATATGAAACCAGCAGTCATATCCCTCCCATTCGCAATCCTTTCTGCCGTTCCCCACTAATCCCACAGATCTCGCGCTCAGAGCAGGTGGACGACGCTCTCTTCCGCGCACTCCTCTTCGCCCGAAGGCCCGGCCGGCCTCCCTCTCGCGCTGTCTGCAGTCTGCTCGCCTGACCTCCGGCGCCTGAGCAGAGGTCAAGGCGCCGGCGAAGGGCGGCCTGGCCCTGAGGAAGGCGTCGCAGGGCCCCTCCCGGAGCGCCAGCAGGTCCTGGCGTCACTCACCTTGCAGCTGAGAGTTGCGCACGCTGCGTGAGTGGTGGTTCTGAAGAGGAGGAGGAGGAGAGAACAGACGGCGCCAGGGTGCCACCTTCCGCACGCACTCACACACTCGCCACTACTGGTGCCACGGCCAGCGTTGTGTGCCCATCTACCCAGTGCCTGGCAACCAGCCCCGCTTGCGGACGGCCGCAGAAGAGGGCGGGCATGCGGGCAGCTGGAGAGGAGGGCGAGCAGGAGGGAGGGCGGGCATGCTGACGGCCAAGGAAATGAGTGGGCGTGCGGGCGGAACGAAGGGCGGAGGGGCGGGCAGGTGGCATAATTTTCGATGGGCGGAGACAGGTAGGGCATCGCGGCCCTCAGCTCCGGCGCCAATATCTGCCATGCACGTGCCGGAGAAGATAGCGGGTATTTATGACTGCGATGGCTGCCATTGTGCGGATTATATAAAGGCTTTTGCTCTTCTGTCTTTTGTGTGTGTGTGCGTTTATTTGTTTGTGTGTGTGTGTATGTGTATGTGTGTGTGTGTGTGTGTGTGTGTGTGTGTGTGTGTGTGTGTGTGTGTGTGTGTGTGTGTGTGTGTGTGTGTGTGTGTGTGTGTGTGTGTGTGCGTGTGTGTGTGTGTGTGTTCAACTGACCTCGACCGCCCATTCTGAAATCTCTCCGGTTCCATCTTCATTTTTTTAAATTATTATATCGAAGAGAGATCGAAGAGAAAAAAAAGACTTCTAGTTGTTTCCCCCCTTTTCATCACAGCGATTTAATGATACCTATACACGATATGTTCAGGTAGTGGTATTCTTGAGGTCTGAATGCCACCTGCCCGGCGTCGGTGGCCGCTTGCCAAGGCCTGACTCGCACCAGGCTTGCCAACATCCCCGTTTGCCATACATTCGCAACCTCTGCTTCCCTCCTTCGCTGATCTTCACGGAGATGCTATCTTAATTGTTTCTTTTATCTATGCTGTTTTAGTAGGCACGAAATGGCTCCTTTGGGGATGAAATACTTTCGCTCGATTTTTTTTTCTTTTATTTTGCGGACAAAGAGAAGCAAAATTTGCGACCTTGTGCGAGGTTGTCTTACTCTCCTTTTTGTCTTCCGTTTGGGCTGCAGGTCTCCCCGTTGCCAAAATTAACAGAAAGGGGATG